GCATGCCACCTTACACGCTAAGATATAATAATGATGACGATGTAGTTTTATGTCATCCCAGCATAAACCCTTACATATCAGGGATATAACAGCACGCTACCCACCTTGCGTTGTAACTGGGCTGTCGAACGGTACAGTCAAAGCAGTGTTCCATAGCCTACACATCTTGAAGTAAAATGGTACAATTTAACTGTTTGGTCTACACAGAAGCTTACGATTCAACTGTACAGTCCAACTGTACCTACAGTTAAAACTGCAGTTTAAAATGTGTGTAGGCTTGCATAAATCCAGAATTTTTGAATAAGACGGAAACTCAATTTAGCTAATGTCAGGTACCTACCTTATTTCGGCCAGTTCATTCGACTCTAACAGCGGGACGAGTATAGTTCAGTATAGTGACGTTGACGAAAAGAAAATCATTTTTTAAGAAAAGAAATTATTATTTAATCAGTATTGTGGAACGTTCCGTTTATTTATAAAAAAATAAAATTTTAATAATTTCGCTTACCACGTGTATGTGATAGCGAACAATAAATATAATCCTATTACGGCCACTTGTTCTGTGCAAGTGTTTAATGAATCGGATCATACTGGATTTACTTCTTGTGCCGCTGTTTGTAGGTGACGGTGGGGCGGTAAAATGTTGCTGGTTTTAAATTTGTGATTTTATTACTGTTAGTTGTTTTGGGAATAATTTTTGAACTTTTTTATGTTATTCAATTAATGTAATGTGCATTACTTTAGTTAGTATTTACCAAAAAAATATTCATGTAGCTTTTAATTTTTATATTTAGTTATGTCTTGGATTATTTTGTACCTATCTAACGGTGAAAATTGATAGAGTTGTATTGTGTTTAGTCCTAAGCTCGTTCAAGTATTATTATCTTCAATTCATGTCATTCCTATAAATCAAACAGTTTTTCAATATCTGTAGATTATAGTTAATCTTCTAGTGAATTCACTGTTTAAAATATAAAAAAATGTCATCATCATCAGAATAGTTACAAGACGTTCATTGCTGAACATTATTGAAACTATTCAACTTTTTGTATCAATAAAACATTTTAGCGCCCATTGGTGTCATCGCAGCTGGTATGGCCACCCGCGATTCATCTCTACATTTTGACTTTAATATTTGACAAACATATTTTACCACCCCCACAAACCAACCTCCACCCTTATCATAACTGCCGAAGGTTGAAAATCGCTTGTGTTTTAGGGATAGGAGTGTTTTATTAAGTTGGTACTCGTTGGGTGTTCGAATCTGTCGACAGATGGCGTTCTTGCTGGTAATGTTAAGTATTGGTTATGATATAAACAGAATAGAAGTTTTATTGTCTATGGATTGGTCTGTTTGTTGTTCACTTGTTATGAATTGCGATAAAGGAGTTAGGTTATGGCGCTGTTTGTAGTTGGTTATGGTGGTTCTTTTGCAGAATAAAAACTGGCTTTAGCATAGCAATTACCCATTTTTACTCAATGTTGCATTTTGCCTATGAAGTCCTAAGTGAAATAAAAGAAAATAACTTACTTAGACAATTATTTTCTGATCAAAACGAATATTTAGTAAAAATAATTTTAACATAGGCTAGTTAGTAAGAGTCTAACACTCCCTCTCGCTTTCACCCGAGCGGGAGAAATCATTGGATGATTTTGCCCCTCAAAAAAAAGAGGTACCTATCTACTGTTTATTTTAGACAAGAATCCTTACTAATATTACAAATCGTAAAGTGAGTTTGTTTGTTTGTTCCGCTTTCAAGCCGTAACTACTAAACCGATTGCTTTGAATTTTTGCAGACGTAAAGTTACAAGTCTGGATTAAAAATAGGGTACTTTTAATCCCGGAAAAATTAGATATTCTCGAGGAAAAACGAAATTATTGGTATAGATGGCGCTGTGTGTATTGGTATATGTCACGTAGGCTACTTTTTATCCTTTTGTGACGCGAGCGAAGCCGCGAGTAAAACTAGTAATTAATATTTCTACATACCTTTTCTAAGCTGGCCGACTAAAACTTAACCATAAACTAGGCACGAAAAGCCATTTCGATCATTTTAAATTTTTACAAACACTCTTCTTAATCTTAATTAACCTAGTCGGCCATATTGATTTTAACTGTCAACAATAGGTATGACGTCACAACTACATATTTTCGAAAGACAACCTTTAAAGAGATTTACGATACGAAATCACGGCGGACATGTGATGCTTGGTAAATATTTATACTAGGGTAAGCAACTGTTCATGTTGCACGGGATTATGATGGGTTTTTACTATGAGAACATTAATTATTGTGTAAGGGCCCGCAAGTAACTGACAGATGTTTTGTAAATAATTATGTTATGATTTGTGCTTTATGAGTTTCTCAAGAGTTTTATTGTGTTGGGAATATGTTTTTGATAATGTTTGTTTAATGCTTCGTCAGTTCCCTACCAAATTTAATAATATGTCGAAACCTACTCCTGGGTAAGATAAAGAAATTAATATTGTGTTTTTGACTTAAGACTTGTAGCAAATTCATTACATTCGTACGAGCTACGTTGTACAGTATACAAGCTACCGAATAAACGCACTTTTAATAAGTGAAACAAGTGAATTTATTTCTGCAAATAGGCTACAATGCAGCACTTTTACACGTCAATTTTATCAAGCGAACGATGAGGCCGACATTTCCTAACTGACTACTCTGAGAAGAAATGCCGAAACAAACTGAGAGGTCTGTCTCTTTAACAAAAACGTTGCAGTTAACTTAAGGCAACAATTATTACATTTTAACAGATTATATTTAGTAGCTAAGTATTAAACCTTTATACCGATCGGTTGTCTACTCATTCCATAACATTTTCACTGTTGGGAATTAAGTCCCAACAAAGTTTAACATACAATGAGACTTATAATAAAACTGACTAACAGTGCTATTCTAGTAGCAATTGCACCATAAAACGCCAGAAAAAACAAGTACGATATTACGTAATGCATCTATAAATAGCCGTCGATTCCACACATTCCTAAACCCATTCCATGGTCACACCCGCCCACGTGAAGCAGCCGAGCCATAATTTCCACTCAGCCCTTTGACTTAACCTCGTATGAAATTCATAATAATTGAGGAACAATTAAGGTTGGCCGACCTTTGGGGCTTTGGTACACCTTTGAGGTAGGAACCATTGCGTCCCATTTCACTTTGAGCCTTTAATAGAGAGTAACCTCAAAGAAAAATGTACTTACCAACAATTACACCTACGTATGTAACTATGAGGCACTCGGGAGGGAGCTGAGTCAGTCTCTAGGGATGGGGTGGAGCTATCGATACTTAGATTTTTTGAGGAAAGCTATGTATTTCATTCAAATTTACAAGTGGAAACCATCGTTTTTATTCTTCTCCTCTTATAATATCTTCTGGTTTACTTCATTGCGGGAACCAAGACAGTAATTCATGTCCCTGAGACGCGCCGGACTTCAGTGTTCCGGTGTTTTCCTGGTTGTATCTACAGTAGATTCTGACTTACAGGAGTTGCAGCGGTTTTGTGCGGTTGTGGCCAGCTTGTCCCAATAAATTACTATTATAAGTTTACTAACTTAGTTATATCTTCTATTTTTTATTGTGACTTGTCTTATTTACCTACTGAAGTGTATGAATACGACAATTATGGGTTTTATGCTTATTGAGCATCTTGTCACATACATAGTACTAAGTACTGAATCTATTTCTGTTAATAAATTATAAGAAATTATAGAATCTATGTCATTGGCGGTCTATATTCAACTATGGCCGACTTAGTTTTGTCATCTCAATTCCTAAATTTTTTAAATCTCACTCATACAATACATACCGTAAGCAGAGAAAACTATAAAAATCCTAATGAAATTCAAATTCTATCGACTTTTAAATACCGACAT